ATATAAATTATTATGTATTCACTATGAATAAATAATAATAATAATATTGTATATACTTGTACTTTTTTGCATGAAAAAAAGGGGAAAAACATGGACTTATTGTTATTGCTGACATTGAAACCACAGCTACACCAATTCATTTTTTTATTTTTTTTATAGTTTTAATTTTGAACTTTAGTCTTTGCGGTTACTCTGACACTTTTGGTCAAACCCTACAAAGTTTGACCAATGGTAAAACAGTTCAGAGTAAAGTCTTGTAAAAGTCCTGAGTAAATTCTAATGGCTGGCATTATGAGCTCATCAGCTGAAGGCGTGGAGGTGTACGTGTCTGAAACACACACACACACACACACACGCACACACACACACACACAAACAAACAAACAAACAAAGTGAAGTCCTTTTCCTTCTGGGAAATTAACCTTAGAGGGCCCTGCGTTACCATGGAGATCTGGACAGGAATTTCAGGGGAACACACACACACACACACACACCAGAGTGCACACACAGTGTTGATCTTCACTCTCCAGCTCCAGTCGACTGTCCCCTGTCCATGCTTTGCCCGTCAAACACGGGGACTCACCAACTTCTCTAATGTGAACGTTTAGCATTTCTTCAAAGCTGTTTCTGCTCCAGGAAAAGTTTTTTTGTATATCATTTATTCTTCAAAGCTGTTTCTGCTCCAGGAATATCAATTTATCACATTTATTTTTTTGTACATTTCGTAGCTGGGTTCATATTTAACCACGTGTGCATGAAAACGGGTCATAAAAGTATCTCAGAGCTGGTTGAATTCAGGAGGATCTGGTGTCGTTTCACACACAGAGAACTCTGTTCCCCTACAGCAGGTGTCAAACTCAAGGCCCGGGGCCCAAATGCAGCCGGACAAGTCATTTTGTACGGCCCGCGGGAGGTTAAAAAGTGTTTACTAAAGTCCATGAGCAGAGTTAATGTGATGAATTACACAGTTATGAACCACATTTGTAATTTGGATAAATAATAATCAATTGCAGAAACATGTATTAATACGTTATGCAGTAGTTACATTTATACAGTTCTTAAAATCAATTAAAACTATTTTATTTCCTAAAATGTATTTAATTGTCCTAGAAGTGCAGTGGCACAGTGTTGGAGTGTTTGTTCTCCATAAACAAAACAGGAATTATCAACACTTTTCTCAGTTTCTTTTGCCCTGATGAAACCCTTCGTTTCCTTATTTTTTTATTAGTATTTATTATTTATTATCTTTGTCTCCAAAGCATTTTCTGCCCAGAAACAAGAAGAATAATAATAATTAGAAGGGTAATATGCATGGAGGTGACAGTAATGACAGCGGAGAAGCTGCCAGCGGAACAACTCATTTCCTCTCTTTTGTTCTCCAGCTCACGCTTCACTGAGGCAGAAGCTTGGACACAGCTCGAGCTAACGATAGCACACGTGTGTGTGTGTGTGTGTGTGTGTGTGATAACGTTAGCTCAATGATCTGAGCGTATTCAAAAAGCTGTGATGTGTGATAGATTACACAGGTTTAGGTGACAGTAACGAATGAGGAAGTGGATAAGAAATATAGAAGAGGATTTAGAAGAGGATTGTGACATTTGGTTTTTCTAGAATTCGTTTTTCATCATTGTTTGTTTGTTACACTGTGCTGCAAATACAGAGTAGTTCACACAGTGACGGCTGTTAATTAAAATGCGCAAAATGCATTTTATTTGATTTATATTTACGAAAGTTTCAATTTCAAAAAGAAAAATAAAATGTGAAAAAAACATTTCTAGCAGTATTTTTGGTCATCAATTACTAGGCGTTTCAGGCGACCCCTGTTTGAACCCACTGTGGAGTTTGTGACCCCAAGGTTGTAAAACTTCTCTGACTGACACCCATAATAACAATTCCCTAGAGATAGAAGATAAAGAGAAACCAAAGCAGTCCATTGAATATGAACTATGATGCACTGTATCATATGCAGTGAAGCAGTTGAGAAACTGGCAGTGAGTATTTTGTTTAGTAAATATTTTGAAACTTCAACATGAAGACGTAGCAATGACCGATGAACCAAATAACAGTAAAGATTCTGTTTGTTTCCAAGAGACCAACAATTCAACAGATAACCAACGGTACATTGTCCATCCCAGTACCCACTTCAACACACCGGCTACTGTAAAGAAAACAAAAACAAACCCATCTTTCAACATCTTACAGCCGACCAAAAAGAGCCAATCATTTCAAGTGTCTCTGTCCATTATTTGCCGAGCCATTTTAACCAACCAATCAGTTTAAGTTGATACATTTTGTCATTAAATTGGTCAAGTTTTCACACTGCAGTCACCGCTGCCACTGAAAGTCAAAACGAACAATGTACATTTTGTCATTAAATTGGTCAAGTTTGCAGTCACGGCAGCAGCTGAAAGTCAAAACGAACAATGGTGTGTCTGCACACACACACACACACACACACACACACGTTATTACGTCTTTACAAAGACAATAATCCACTTCTGTTTGTGTTTCAATGAAACTCAAACATAGACTGGGAAGCAGCCGACACTACAGTTTATCACAGAAAGACCAAATAAAGACTGATTGCAATTAACTAAATTAATATTAGGTAATATTAGTAAATATATAAAAGAAAGTTAATCCAGGAGATCTGAATAAAACATTTATTCTTCACCTTTTTCACAGCGATCCAGCGGATCCTCCTCATCGGTTCTAGTCCTCATAGGTAAAGAATGACTGACTGACATTAATGGACGAGCTTCATCGCATTACTGTCTGTCACCATAAATATCTACGAGAGCGAGAAGAACAGGCAGAGATACATGAGATCAGAGGCTGTGCTCACAACAAAGCTGCTGTTTGTTGTTGTTTTTTTTTTTCTTTTTTTTCCCTTGTAGTTTTACTGTGACTCATGGACAGAGTCACACAGAGACAGAGCCGGAGACTTCAGGTCCCACTCGCAGCATTCCCGCCCAAACATGACCACAACACAACAGGCTCCATTCAGCAGCTCCTCACAGACTGAGAGGATTCTGCAGAAGTCACTCAAATAAATTAATAAAAGATGTTTCTCAGTGCTTTACTTTGGACGTTGTTTATCCAAAGACTTTATGGTAAGAACCGGTTTGAAGCTTCTAGAAAAGCAAAAACAAAACAAAACAAAAACTTTCGTTTTCTTTTCACAAAGAGGAAAGTACCATAAACTTTTTCTCACTATCTCGAGCAGGGGTGAGGTCCTCTAGGGGGCAGCCCTCGGAAAATTGGAGGGAAGGTCAGAAAAGATTACCAAAAAAAAAAAAACCATAATAATTTTTGAAAAAATGTTAATAACCATTGAACTGTATTACATGTAAACTGCCATAATAGTGAAATTGTCAGGTTTCCAGTGGTGAATGCACATTGTTTGACAGCTGCAACTTCAGCGCGACAACTTCCTTATCTGTGTAGACCTGCTCCTCAGGCTAGCGTGTTGCTAACTAAGGTAAAATGGACAGGTTTTTGTAGACCAAACACTTTATTATTCAGCGGGAATATACAGTGCTTTATGCTAAACAAATGTAATAATTATTAAATAGTGAATAAAAGTTGATGTTTCTTTACATATTTTGTAGCATTGACTGTTGGTTTGCAAACAGCGTCTCCGACTAGAAGCTAATGCTGTTTTAGGGGACTTGGCATGAAACAGTTTCAAGGACACTGGTTTATTAGTTCACTGCTGCCTCCTGTGGCCAGATTGTATCACTGAAGGTAAATTAAAAAAACCCAAAACAATACAAAGAACAACGTAGGTACAAATATCTGGCTCTGTGACTGCACTGAGCTCAAATCCCTTACATTCTCTATGGAATTTGGTTGATGTGGGAAAAATTAACATGTCCAGAAATAAACAAACATAGAAGTAAGAATCGTCTCTTCTCTTTCACCAGCCTCACCTGCTACCTTGGCTCAGCATTAACCCTTCAACAGCTGTAAAGTCTTTGTGATTAATAATTGAAGAGGACGAGGAGTGAAGCTGCGGCGGAGGGAAAATCGATAGGTTCTGTTGAACCTAAGCCTCTGTCGGAGGAGAGAGGCAGAGGAAACACAGTCTGTTCTCTTTCTGCTTTAACAAAAGACAGCAGCAGGATAGACTCTACTGCAGTCTTGGCCTTAAGGCAGGACTGTCAGATGGTTTGGTGCAAGATTTAAGAAGAAAAATGTACCATTGTTATTACAGTGTTCAAAAATGCAATTTGCGATACAACTGCAACGACAATATCGCAATAATACTTAGTTTTTCAAGTTTTGTTCCATCATTCCAACATCCGGCGTTAAAACTCGTCAACTAGTTCCCGAAGCATTGGTCCAATTTTTCTGATGTTTTTATGTCTTACATTACGATGTTACCACTGTGCTAGTGTAGGGTGACATCGGTGCTTACGTACAGTATGCGAGTTCCGACTTACGGCGAAAATCCAGTTATGTCGTACCATAGGAACGGAACTCAACGTAAGTCGAGGAGCCTCTGTAGTTTACGAGGAAACATTTTTTACACGCTAACAAGATGCAGCACCATCGCTGGATCCAGCAAGTGACTTTGAAGTCACTAATGTAGCTGCATGACAGCGGGTGTTTGAAGCCGTACTGTCCTCCCTCTGAGTCACTGCTAAGTTCCTGATGTAGCTGCAAACTATTTGATCACATCTCATACATAAATAGCTGCAGTCTGTACCTCTGTACCCGGACTTTTGAACATTTCCAAGTCCAAAAATAAAAAAGTCCGATGAATAAAGTGATGACATCTGCTGTGTTTATGTGATTTAGCTTCAATCCCTGAAGAAACAGAGAAGATTGTTGAATTAAAAGAGACAATAATAAAGAAGGAAAGCTGTTAAATAATGCAGAGGAAAAGCACACGAGCTGCTGCTAACTAGGAAGAGGCTGCCGGCTGGCATCGGCCGCAGCACAAATAAATCCAACATGTACCAGAGACATTCTGCTGCTGAGAAAAGAAGTTGTTGAATAGTTTATCTGCATGGAATTTGCTGGGGGTTGAAACAGCACCACGGAAGACCTTTATAAGAGGTTTATGCTGGCATTTCTTAAAAAAATAAATGCTTTTTTAAAAAAAAGTCTCTAATGTAATGATGTACAGTTTTAGCCTAATCTTCTCACAACAAAATCTATGGAGAAAATCTGTGATTTAAACTCAAAGGATTGAACAAACGACCTGTCTACGAAGGCTTGCGTGATACAACTTTTTGTATCCGATACCCGTATCAGTGGTGTCTCAGTTTACAGGATCTCGCACAGATTTAAGCCGAGCATTCGGGTGTAAGTGTCAGATCGGACGTGCTATGGTTTTTTTAAATTCAACGTTCCATGGAAATCACAGCTAATAAAGCTTTTTGACCAACAGTAACAGAACCAGATATTTTTCGTGATTTGTTGTGGATATAAAAAAGACAAAGCTAACAGTTCCTCTGAGCGGTCAAATATCACACCCACAGACAACAACACCCAACAGCAGAATACTGCAGGTTCCAGACCAGACATATGCAAAGACCTGAAGTCCTTGGGTAAGGGATTTAGGAAAATCTCTAAAGAAATAGTTTTCTTTTTTAACTTAATTTATGTAAATACGTCAACACCACTAGAGACACTTCAGCAGTTTTGAAGTTGGCAGCCTGATTCTCTAAGTCTTGAAGCTCTAAACATTTCATGCAAATACCATCTGCTAACACCTTCACTCCAGAAATCACACCTCCACAGCTTTGAGGTGTGTGTGTGTGTGTGTGTGTGTGTGTGTCTGAAACTGTCTCCATTTGTGTGAAAAGCCAAACTGAATTCCACTGAAGGGTTGATGGACACACACCAAGACAGCAGCCAGAAGGGTGTGAATTATTTCCAGAAAAGTCGACACAGTTTCTCCTCCTTGTTTAGGTCTACGTGTGTGTGTGTATTTTTGGGTTGCAAACACACACCTTTAACCACGTTTTAAAAATAACTCTATAAAAACCATCTGTTTAAGAGCAGAGAAGGAGCAACTTAATGAGCAGCACTTGGTCTCAGGCAATGGTTTCCGACCTTTTTTAGAGAACCATGAACTGTTGTTCCTCTAATCCATGGTTTTTAATTGGAATGCAGAACTGAGACTTTACAGTAAAATCTGGAAGTAAAAAAATATGGCAGAAATAATCCTATATCATAAAATAAAATTAGCAAAAAAAAGACTTAATCAACAAGATATTGTTGTTTCAAATTGTTTCTCCTAGTTCTGTCAAAAACTGCTGGTGGATTAGAGACTTAAGAAATGATCATAAAAAAGAAAATCCTGTAAATGTTTATGTATTTCTGTCACATCAGAACTGCCTTATTGTATACGAGTCGAACTTTGAGCGTCACTACAGTGTTGTTGTTGTTGATTCAAATGGATTAACAGCTTCGGAGGCTGTTCTCGCCAACAGCAGGTACATCTTAACTGTACATTTGTCTAAGAAGCGAAAGAACATTTGATCTTCAGTTACAATCCTATAAGAAGGTTAATGGTTCGCATTTTGTGCATGGCTCCTGTTTAGAAAACAAAACCAAACAATGCAACCAACATCAACAAATACAAAGTGAGAATTACGATCATATTTTAATCTGAACGTTTTTCGATCGGGAAGTTCGATTCTGTAATTTTGACCAATATTTTACCGACACTGATCCTGAGTTTTGGATCGAGCCATTCCTACTGGAGGACGGCATCAACTTTTAGAGAGCTACTTCAAGGGCACTTAGTAATACGAAAAGCTACTTGTTTGATACAGACTTTCGAACAATGTAATCAGTACTGTGACGTACGATAGTAGACACTCTTCTTACCATTGAATATCACTGCAAGTGTAACTGATTCAAAGTACAATCGTTGACCCTCCAGTTGACTAGTTTTATTTTTAGGACATACGCCGCGGGCACCTTAGGTAGTCCACGGGGGCTACCAGGCACCACGCTGGACTGGACAGTCCTTCCCTCGTCATATTTGCCTAAATCTCATCTTTCATTCGTAATCTTTATTCTAATCCTAAATCCAAACGAATTCTTGTATAAAAACACCTTCTTTCTCAGTGCAGGCCAGCAAAACAACAAGGACAACAATAGCAAAAAAAAAACAAAAAACCAAACAAACATCCCTACAAGGATGACACCAACAAACACACACACACACAGACACACACACAGACAGACCTCCAAATCTTGCTGCTGCTCTGCGTCTGGATGGAGACACCAACTCTTTGACGATCTGAAGAACCTGCATGGTCAGTGGGAGGCAGTGATGGAGGGAGACGTAACACAGTCAGGGCAGGAGCAGCTTTTAAAGTCCACTGCATCGCCCTTTAATGTCATCCTTATAGTGAATCAGAACAGGCAGTAGTCCGTGGGCCCACAGTGCCTATGAACTCATTTACCACAGACATCAGTTGGAAAGACGCAGCTCTGTTGACCATCCAGTGATTGAATGAGAAACTTGTGGTATGAATAAATGGTACTAGTTCCTGGTTTCAGGTTTTGTTTGGTTGGTAAAGAGACTCTCATATACAGAAGAACGGTCAAAACCACACAGCATATATGCAGGGACATCCTGCCTGATGTTGCTCTGGTAAACTATTTCCCTCAAGGTCCATCCAATTTTTTAAGCCGACCATCATCAAACTAGACAATAACACGTAATAGAACATTAAGATAAAAATGTAAAACTACGAAATTCACCAAGAATTATAAAAAAGTTCAACTTTGTTGCAAAAAAAACAAAAAACAATATTTCCACTTCCACAACCAACGAAACTCGTCCAACTGAAGCACGCTTTAGTTGACTAAGCTGTTCAAAAGGCAACTATTTTGATCCGATCATTACAGCACATGGTCAGTTAACTCCACTTTGTTTCATGGGTTTAATCTTAGAACCAGCATCGCCAAAAAAGGTGGACGGGCAGAGGAACGCCACAAATCCTGTTCCAAAATCTAGAATCGTGACGGGAAAGTGATCTTTTGAGCATCCAAACTTTCTCAGGCACGAAAGCTTCGTCAGATGCCGATTTTCGTAAAAACACGCTCCTGTGTGAAATCCAGTGGAAATCTGCTCCACATGAAATCCCCCCCCGCAACCCCGACCTGGTGGTGAGTGCTGGAAGTGGCCACGGACACGTCTGTTCTCAGGCAGAACATGGTCGTCTAGTGTGTGATGTTACGCTCACACGCATGATCTTCAGAGACAGAGAAGAGAGCAGTCTGCCCTCTCCACGTTACTGCCCGTTTCTCTCCCCGGTCTTTTTTTTTTCCTTTCCTTCCGACCGGCTGTTTTGTCTCCTGTTTCTCTCTGACAGAAAGAAAATCACCGGCTGCATGTGGACGAGTGGACGAACAGTTGATGATTCCTGACTCAATCACCTCACATTCATCCTTCTTCTTCCTCTAATCCCCCACCTCTGAATTCTCTCAAAGCTGAGATGCTGACTGCTTTACTCTCTCTTCCTCACCCTCTTCCTTTCCCCATCTCTCTCTCTCTCTCCCTCTCTCTCTCCCCATCTCTTTTGGCTCTCTCTTTTTCCATCACTCTCTCTCTCTCTCTCTCTCTCTCTCATTATCTCTTTCACACTGTCTGTACTGTGCCTTCCTTCTTCCACTCACTTCCACTCTTCACCTTTGTGCATTTTTTCTCTCATCTTCCTGTTTCACTCCAGCCATTTTTCTTTTCATTATAAATGCACACACACACACACACACACACACACGTCAGCGCCCGGTGCTGTGTCGAGTGAAAATGTGATCTAAGAGATAAATGAAAAATGTTTTATTCAACAAAACATTCTCAACATCATTCCAACCATTTACAGCAGGGATGTCAAACATACAGCCCGCAGGCCAAAACCAGCCCACTAGGGGGTTCAATCTGGCCCGCTGGAGACATGTTGAAACAAGAGGAGAATAAACATGTACATATCAGGTCGAAGTTCGATCCTGGAACTACTCACACACGTTGGCTATTCCAAACATTTCAGTAGAAGAATTGTAATTTTTTCAATGCTAGTTTTAGTTTTTATCCAAATGAAATGCTCAATTTTAGTGTCTACTTTAAATTAAAAACCGAACCACTCAACTAATGAGAAACGATTAGAGAACTGACTCATGTCATTTTTTCAGCCTTAATGTTTTTTCTTTTTTCCTAATTGTATTTTTTAATATTTTTAATCCAAATGGTCCGTTGTGTAAAACAACTCTCATCAATGATCTGTTCTTTAATTTATCCTTAACTGTAACATTTTTTTTGCAAAAAGACACTGAAAAGCCAGGATCATTACAGACTAGGTTGGAATTTTACAGTTTTATGTTTCTCCAAATAAAGGGTGAAGGGAAATGACCCAGGGTTCACCTCTCCCTGACTTCCTCACTGCGTTTGCTCTGACCTCCTGGTTTGGAGTTTCTGTGAGCGAGGGAATGGGAACAGAGGGGAAAGAAAAACACACTGGAACAACATTACCTCTCTGTCCCCTACTTCCTGTTGGCCCTTTTGTGTCATTTCCTGTTTTTGAAATGACACACGAAAAAGAGCGCGGGGCTCTAAGGTGCAGGCATTTCAATCACAACTGCCCCCAAAAAACGGGAAAAATGATGGAGGCTCAGTGTGTGAGCAAAGGTCACAATCTACGGTGTCAAAAACTCCAAACCCCACAATTCCCTGGTCGCAACAATCGACTCTTTACTGTCATCCTTATATTCCATATGAAATTTATCTTTCATAGTAAACTTTATTCCACTCATTGTAGATATTTATATATTAAATGTGGCCCTAATACTGCACCGTAACGACGGCAACCTAAGGCCCGGGGACCGGATGTGGCCCATTCAGCGTTTTAATCTGGCCCGCCAAACTTTTCCAAAATATATCCATCCATCCATCCATTTTCATCCGCTTATCCGTTACCGGGTCGCGGGGGCAGCAGTCGCCACCCAAATCACATTGCACCGTACCAACCCTTCCTGTAGGTGGTGAGTCCACTGGAAGGTACCAACCGCCCTAACCGGGATTCGAACTTGCCCAGGAGATGAACCCTGGGGTTCCACACCAATG